TGCCTTTTTCAACCTCCTCGTCCAGTTTGTTCTGAGAAAATGTACGAACGACATCTTCATCCAGACCACCTTCCATCTCCTCATTCTCTGAGCTTTCGCCTTCACTAAGGCCCTCAGATTCCTCACCACTTTCCTCCTCCTCCTCCTGATCATCATCATCATCGCTTACTCCCAGATCATCCATGCCTTCTGTCATCTTGTAAAAGTCTACATCTTTAGATGATGTAGTGTCTTTAGAAATCAGCTTTGAATCACCGAGCTCCTCCTCACTCTCTACGTCATAATCATCACCCCCTTCCACATGATCGTCCACATCAGCAAAATCATCGTCTTCCTCCTCATATCCTTTCGTGTCCATCAGCAGCTGCTTACGGGACACCGGTTTCCCCTTGTACCGCTGGTCTGTGTCCAGAAGCAGGGAGGAGGTGTGTTTCCGTAGAGCGCTGACGCCATTAGCATCGTCCGGCTCCTCGTCGTCGCTGAATCTCGCTACCACTTTAGCTTTGGTCGCCTCGTCAGCATCATCCTCCGGGTCCGCAAACCTCGGCAGCGGATTCAACAACTCCTCCAGCTCCTGAGAGAACGATCCCGCCATGACCACCAAGCCTTAAACGTTACACGTGCAGTTGACAATTCTTTCACCGGGAGACTGCGTCCGCATCGGCGATGACGTCACAAAACGCGACGAGTCTTTTGACAAAGTGGTTAATAAACCCAGTGATAAGTCTTCCAGGTTACTCGCGTTTGTGTTCAGGAAATTCTCTTTTGTGGTTGAAACCTGAGTAGCACGAGATTAGAAAACCATATTGTGCCAATTTCTTTAGATGATTATTTGAAAACGACAGGTTTACTATCAAAACCAACTAGGTGACCTAAAGAACTGATAATGATAACTTCACACAACCCACATAACCAATTCAAGCAAACATATCTGTCAACACAAATAAACTGGAACATATATTACAACCTATAAATCTAAACTTCACCAAATTGGTTGATTGTTGCTCCTGTTGACCACATCATAGATCACCCTCAGATACATCCTCTTTACATAGAGTCTTCTGCATGCAACTGCATTCTTACAAACACTGTCAAATTACCGAGTGGTAATTTTATAATGCCTGCATGCTATGCTATTTATTATCGTTTTTATTTTCTTCTATGTGCTCAAATGTAATTGTTTTATTTCTGTCTGTTTGATTTTTTTAACTACATCAGAGACATCTTGGACAGGTCATCTTTGTAAATAATAAAATGTTATCAGAGGTTGAAAAGAAAAAGTAAAATAATCTGCATGTGTGATCCACCTGAAAGACAAAACCCGGGGTTGATATTTTCATCCACGGTGATTCCCAGTACGCATGCGCACGGTAAGCCGAGGCTCGCGCAGCTCTTAGCTTTATTCACTTGAGTCTGTTAGCAACAACGTCGTGTAAGGTCAAAAAATGTCATCAAGTGACTTTTATTTAAGATATTATGTCGGACACAAGGGGAAGTTTGGACACGAGTTTCTGGAATTTGAGTTCAGACCCGACGGTGAGTCTTTTTTGGCGGTAAATCGGATGTATTAGTTCCCGTCGTTGAAGCTAACGCTGTTAGCAGCGTGTAGGCCACAAATGAGTTACTCCCACGAATGTTACCCCCATTTTCTTTAAATAATTCTAACTATTCAACATCTTATGTTAAGTGATACGTGTAGATTATTTAAATTAAATGTAGGATCGTGATCTATGAGCGTATAGGAGCCGCGTGGTACACACAGTTATTCACGTGTTTTTATATGCAACTCTGGTCTTTTACAGGTAAACTGAGGTACGCAAACAACAGCAACTACAAGAATGACGTGATGATCAGGAAAGAGGTATGTTAAAAATATAATCGTGTTATTGTAGTTGAATAGTTTCTCTAAAGCCTTTTGTTGCTTCTTTATCATGGTATCAGTACAAGCTGAAACGGCTAGGCAATGGGTTACTTCACCACATCCTTACCACCACTTTTTAAATCAAAACTCCAAACCCACCTCATCAAACAAGCTTTTACCACATAGTTTTAAACACGTTGTTTTAAAATTTAGCATCTTATTGTTTTCACATATTTCTGTACAGTGTTTATGTTGTTTTATTTATTTTTCCTCGTTGTTGTAGTGTCCTTGGGTGTCATGAAAGACGCTGTTAAATAAAATTATTATTATCTTACTTGTACACAATCAGTACGATAATGCAGGTTGGGACCTTCAGTACAGGATAAGATTAAAAGTCTAAGCACTGTAAGATGGCATATTGGAAAGTATATTTAGCGTGAATGATGACACCTGTTTTCTAAATGTGGCACAGTTTCATTTGTATCTTATCTTCGTTCTAATGTAGGCCTACGTACACAAAAGTGTGATGGAGGAGCTGAAACGGATCATTGATGACAGCGAAATCACAAAGGAGGACGATGCACTGTGGCCTCCACCTGATAGAGTTGGAAGACAGGTTTGTGTCAAAAGTTTCCCGCTTGACTTTTCGGTTAATACATTTTTTTCTGAAAATAGTATAATATTCAGTTATCTGTCATGTATTTTAACTCACTCACTGCCAGCCGTTTCCTGATCACTAACGGCCTTCGCTGCCAGCGTTTCTCACCGTTTTTACTGTTTTTTTAAGCCACAGAACGTTGCGCGCTAGCATGATGTCGACGCCAAAACAACCAAAACAAAGAGGAGACTCACCTCTTACGTCAGGAAGAGTCCGCGTGTTTCGAGCGTTATCCGTTCTTTCATAATCCGTTGTCGAATTGTGATCGGCAGACGCTTTTCCGGTTCGCGCCTCACTTTTTTTACAGGAACGGCCCAAAACGATCTCCAAACACATGGATGTGTTGCTTCCTGATCATGTGATCTGTGACGTATGCGGATGAAGATCGGCTTCAGGGCCGAGATGTTTGTTCTCTCAGCGCGGGGGCTCGTTCCGATGCTCAAACAGTAAAAAAATGCAAATGACGACTTTAGTCGTCATTGGCAGTGAATGAGTAAAGAGAACCAGAACTACTGAGACTTAAAGGGCCTCATTATAGTCTAACCATTTTCTTCTGAAATACCTAATCAAAGACAGAATAAATATATCAAATCACGTATTTTGAACCTCAGAATCTAGATGTAATTTCATGTGAACAGACTCAGCGGCAGCTTGGTAAAAAGTATTGTACCTGTAATGGTAAAGTCACTGACACTAGTCAGTCAGTTGCAATTTGCTGGGTTCCTTACATAGGAAACTTTTAACTTATTGGCATGATGAACTGAACTCAGTTGGAACGTTTACTTTGTAAAGTGCTCCAGGCAACTCTTGATTTGGTTTTATATTAATAAACTAAACAGAATTTACGTAGCTTTTTTTGTCACATTTAAATGTTTCTGATCAGCAAACAAAATTAAATATCAAAGACAAAAATAGGGAAGGATCAAAAGAAACACGAGTAAGTAGAAAATGTATGTTTAAAAATATCAAAAAGGCTATTTGTTTTTGTGGTGGTGAGCGCACGGCTGCAGGGGAGAGGGAGACACTCTCTGTTGGCTGCTTCAGGGTCACTCAGTAAACGCCACACACTATCTTTCAACCGCCTGTACATTTTATTTACTGTTTCTGTTAGGGATGCTCCGATCACGTTTTTTTGCTCTATCCATTTCTGAGTCATTTAATTTTGAGTATCGCCGATGCCAAGTCTTGATTGGAAAAAAATGAAAAAAAGTTCAGCAAATTATTAAAATTAATAAACACATTTAAGTTGTTTCACTTTCACTTGTTAGGGAAGTATGCTGAATAAAAAAATTGTTAATATTATGAAAGTATTAGTGCTTCCACGATTAGTCAATTTGTCAGGATGGCGTCGACACAATAGTCAACAATAAATGTATTAGTCAACGTCGTTTATTCTATAAAGCATTGCTTATTTAAAAATCTTGCCTGCAGATTATCATTGCTGCTTTCTGCTTGAGGCACATGTGCAGTAGTGGCCACTTGGGTGAGCCGTCACGTTAGTGGAAAAAACAAAACATGGCAAACCGGCACTGTAGCTCAAAAGTTTGAAAGCATTTCGCAACGTGCACGCCTCGGCAAGCAAACAGTCTGACCGAGGCAATTTTGAACTTGTTGACAGACTTGAGACCCTTGTTGTTTGATAAGCTATCATCTTGTCTTTTTATTTTGGCACATTACAGATCACACTTCAAACTAGAAGCTAATGATGGGTATAATAGAGCATCCTGGTGCAATAAGCTGTACTTTTATGCACAACACGATTAGTCGGCAAATTAACTTGTGATTAGTCGACTATTAGAATAATTGTTTGTGACAGACCTATATTCAAAAGTAGCAGCGTGCTCTTATTTAATGTTGTTTTCTTCCTCAGTATAGCTATACTATAGCTATAGTGTGTGTTCCTGTGACGGAGCAGGCGCGCGGCAGGCAAGCGAATGGTAGAGTCATGTTGCTGTTAGCCAATCAGTCAGAATTTTCGAGTATCATGAAATAAGACCCTAAATCATGCCATGTTTTGCTCCTATTACTTTGGCTCACTTTTAATTCCTTAAGCAGGAGCACAGAGATGGACTCACAAGGCATTCTTTTATACTGGACCACTGAAAATGTGTTGAAAAAATTAGTGAATTTGGTCTTTAAGAGTCCTGCAAATACTAGTTGACCATTTGCCTCACTTTTTTTAATTGCATTTTGTTTTTATTGGTGTTAACCTAATAAAACACAAACATCTGGAATTCTTTTCATCCTGGTTTTTGTACCTGACAGGAGTTGGAGATTGTGATTGGTGACGAGCACATTTCATTCACAACTTCCAAAATTGGCTCTCTGATTGATGTCAACCAGTCAAAGTGAGTAACATGTCCAACGAGATAAAGCAGTTATCTTTGTTTACTGTTATCTGAGGGACAAACATGTTTTTTCTTTCAGGGACCCAGAAGGGCTTCGTGTGTTCTACTACCTGGTCCAGGATCTGAAATGTCTCGTCTTCAGTCTGATCGGCCTACACTTCAAGATCAAGCCTATCTAAAATATGGAGATCAAAATATTCCAGTTGCTTTATCTCCGGTTCTTTTGTACTATCACATTTGTACATTTGCTTTTGGTGGAATTGTTGTTTTAAATAAACCAGGAATAAAAAAAATTAACATCTTTTTGTCACGTCAGATGCTTTAGTGAACAAACACTTTGCCATAAATGTGAAATTATACCACAGATATAATTTATATCAAGTTTTATTCCAAAATACAATCAGCCAAAATAAAGCTTGAACCAGTGAATACATAATAATGAGACAACCTATAATAATTTTTCAGCTTTCACATTTAATGAGGCATCCTTTCTACATTCTTACAGCTGCCAGAACATTAGGACTGGCTTTCAGTTACTTTTGTGCAGTCCAACAAAGTTCATGGCTTCAAATAATTATTTGCAATAATTAAAATGTACAATTATTAAAACCCTATTTTCTGTACAAATTTAATATGAATTTTAGTGTAATATTAATTACTGGAAGCTAATTGCTAATTTTTTCTACGGTGATCATGTACATCATCTTTTAGTTAATAGGCTTTCCTTCAAGTACGCTGAATATGTCCTCCAAAGACTTATGGACACACTGTAGGAATTCATGGACGTTACGAGCTGGATAACTGGAGACATTGCAGCCCATCCAGTCGTCGTGAACGCCATAACCAACACCGAACCCATCGGGTACCACCGGAGCGAAGCCTCCAAGGCTTACTGCAGGACTGGTGAGGGTACTGGTGGAGAGGACGTTGTGGTTGATGGCGGCGTAAGCAGGATCTGTGTAGAGGTCGTGCAAAGCCTGGCCCTTTAAGGTCGAGAGGTAACGCAGGGCAAACAGGTGACGGTCAAACCCCTGACCTGGTGAGATGCACATGGAGTAATTAGCATAACATATGTGACACTAAAATACTAAAACAGTACGGTATTTTCATCATCATCATCATCATCACCTTTATTTATAAAGGCACTTTACAGACTTATATTATGTCACCAAAGTGCTGAACAAGACTAAACAAAAAAAAGATAAAAACAAATAATATGTAGGAAACCAAATAAAAAAAAAACTGCAAAATACAAAACAACATTAGTTAACACAGATTTAAAAGCCAGATTATAATAATGGATCTTCAGCGCCTTCTTAAAAACCTCTACTGACGTGGCGAGTCGCACAGATAATGGAAGATCATTCCGTAATTTTGGGCCTGCTACCGAAAATGCCCTGTCTCCTCTTGTTTTGAGCCTAGCTGCGGGGACTAGAAGCATATGGTGACTCTCTGAGCAGAGCGAATGATTAGGTATATATGGCTGTAACAAGTCAGATGAATATTCTAGTGCCATCCCATTCAATGCCTTAAAAACCAATAAAATAATTTTAAAACGCACTCTAAAAACGACCGGTAACCAGTGCAGATCTGCCAGGATGGGTGTCACATGATCATATTCCCTTTTCCAGCTCTGCCTACACTAGTGTCTTCAAATCAGAAATGACACATATGTATTGTGGCAGTGTGAGCATCCTGTCACAGTGTCCCAATTGAACATGCGCCCTGGCTACTTGGCCAAGGGGATGTCCCTTTGGCTGACTGGTAAGCGCGCATGACTCTCACCCGGGAGTCTGGGGATTGAATCCCGCCCGGGCCCTCGTTTCTACACCTTGCCACAGTATGAAACTTAAACTAATTTTAAAAGACACAGTTACTTTAGTAACAGAACATATGGTGTTTAGATAAATATTCTTAATAACTCTTTGTTAGAATCACCAGGAGGTATATTACGTAAAGTAACAAACGTTAGATACTGTATGCACAATACAGTTTAAAGTTTATTTCATTGTAATCCAAGTTGTCTGTATCCTAGAAACATTTTATACGCACCCATAGCTGCCTCTCTTGTGAGCTGGCTGTGATATTTGGAGCATTCGTTGAGCATGGCACGCAGCTCCTCCACACTGTGTTTGCCAGGCTCGTTAACAAAGGCGTGTGAGCAGCGTTTGGTGTGCACGGTGGCTGGTCGGATGGTCTCCGTGCGCCCATGCTTGAATGCCGCAGTGCTACACGACTCGTATGTGGCCACCGTCTGGCCGTACTGCCTCAGGAAGCCCATCTGAAAAGACAGCTGAGCTATAGCGTCTGGACTTAATTTACTTTTCTTTAACTGCTCTTTCCCGCCTTTCTTGAACTCCACGGCATCAATGGTGAGTTTTGACACTGCAGAATCAAAGTTCTCTTTGGCTTTTTTGATGCCGTGCTCTAGCTCGCTGTCCAGGTTAAAGTCCAGCCTGCGCACAGCAGAGGCCGAGTCCACCGATGCTGGCGCTGATCCTGGGTGAACTAGCGGCTTTTCTGTTGTGTCTTTAAAGATCTCATTCTGAAAGCGAAGCACAGCAACGCCATCGCCCCAAGAGTGCTCAAAATTAATCGCTGCTTCCCCGTCTTTGGTCACAATGATGCTGAATGACTTGTCGTACCAGCGGTTGCAGCCATCACCGTGCAGCATGTTGTGGGAGACGTGGATGTGGTCGCGCATGCTTTCGTCATCCAGGCAGAGACAGAAGAGTGCGCTGTCGACTAGCCGCAGATTCTCTGCATTTCCAGCAGATATCAGCTTGTCCCGGAGTCCGGCCCACGTGTCCCTGTTCTCACTGGTCAGCAGGCCCAGAGGGAAGGTGGGGGCTGGTGTTGGATCTAACAAGATGTGCTTCAGGTGGGACTGGACCTCCGCAGGCTTCACCAAATTCCCATCTGTGTCTATGATGTCAAACACATACATGTTGCCTTTTCTCATGATCAACAGATGTCGGCCACTCTCATCAGTGACGAGCTCGTCTCGTCCTCGTTTGGGGATGCGAGTTGAGTTAAAGAGGCGGAAGTACTGAGACATGTCCAGAGGGTATGCATTGACCATGTAGGCTCCATACCACGACAGGGAAGACGGCACCCAGCGGATGAAGTTTTTGAATTGGTCCGTGTCGCTCTTTTCTGGATTCAAATGGAAAACTTCTGGTGCCAGTAAGCCTGCTCGCAGCGTTTTCATGAAGCGCACCGCCGAACACGCCATGTTGGTCGATCGCACCAGCTGGTCGTTGTAATCCTTCTTGGGGTCAGGATTGAAGGACATGAAAGGGTTGAAGTTTAATACCACAGAGTCACGTGCGGACAGATACATATCGAACCATGGACCTGAAACAAAGCGGTTTGTTTAAAAGGATTTATTTGTGACTGGCTGGATGCATTTGCAGTCTCTGTAAAGCTCTTGTAAGGCTTGACCCACTCACCGGAGATGTAGCTTGTGTGCTTATTGTTTTTGTCTTGAGCCACCAGTTCCTCATGCAGCTGCATTCCCACTCCCTTTTGAAAATCTTGAGCAATTTTCTCCGTTGTTCTGCAGACAAACACAAAAGAAAGCTGCGTGTAAGATAAAAGCACTCAACAGTAAAATTAGGAGGTAGATTCTGGTGAAATGTACCTGTACTGGTCATCGTTCAGTAGAGGTTTCTGGGCAGCTAAATACCTCCTGATGGTGTCCTCAAGTTTCGGAATGGGAAGTCTGAACAGCAACACAACAAAGGTTAACAGTCTGGGTAATTACGCCAACAATGCACAAATTTATAGAACAACATAGGTTGATCCAGTTTCATTGCGGTGTATACACTTGAGATGAGTCCTATTTTACCATAGAAATGGACCCAGTCCTGCATTTCAGGCTTTCGACACGTTATTGATGTAGTTGTAATTATTGATTAGGTGCTTTGAAAACACAAATATTTTGTGTGAGGGAGGAGGCTGGACTTTCTAGCTTCACTACTCACTAGGGGTTGCATGACTTAATTTTTTTTAAAGTCGACAGTCAAGTAATGAAAATCGAGTCGACTCCGACTAGTCGCTGATGACGTCATACACCTGAAGCGGGGGGGGGGGGGGGGGGTCGGTAGGTTAGCTGGAGTTTTTGACAATTAAAATTGCGCCCACATTTTCAAAGTTAAACACATTTCTTTTAACAACGGTAGTTTCTGCTTCAGCCCTCTCCCCCCTCCCCCTGCGCAGCGGCCGCAAACTCACTGATGCGCCTGCAGCCTCTCGGAGTTCCTGCTGCTCTAAACATTAAAATAATTATTTCATTTTCTGTTCCTCACTTCTGATGACCTTCAATGGTGTCTGTTTGTTGCAACCAGCAGGTACAAAAACTAACTTGTTTTTATTTGACTATTTTTCTGTCCTGCCTGTTTATTATCTTCCTGCATCTCCTCTCAATCCTAAAGAGAAACTGCTACCTGGGTTCATATATATTCACCTTATGAGTTACCTTTGAACTGCAGTTCTAAAAGATCTACCGACCACAAAAACAGCGGAGTGCCGCTGCTCGCCGGCCGACTACAACGGGACCGTTTTTGCTGCGGAGTTCGTGCCGGAGCGGAGCGGGGATAGTGGAATTCTGGGGGTGCGTCACCGGAGGACAGAACAGGTGACGCGCCTCGCTCCGCAGCAGCGAAAGGCATCAGGCACAAATAACAGACAGAAAACATGAAAGGAAATGAGCCGACATGAACGATCGCGTGTTTAATTTGTTTTTGAGGTGGCGACACCTGATTTGGCCGTGCTCAGGACGCAGATGTCTGGAGCGCGTCAACGATCAGAGCTTTGCATGCACAAACTGGTTAAGGTTAGGATGGGGGTGAGGGGAAGGTTAAATTGCAAGAGGGAACAGGTCACAGTTTGGTTAAATGTCCGTTTTACCGCGGGTGTCAGTACCGACGCTCTGGAACAGCGCGTCGCCTCCGCCTCCCGACGCGCAGGGGCTCATCACCTGCTGTCTTTTCCGAGGACTGCGTCTTGTCGGTCATTATCACGTGACAGCGACTAGTCGATGACAGGCATAAAAAGTCACCACAGAGCCGTGAAGTCGACTAGTTCATACAACCCCTGCTACTCACCAGTGACATGTATGGTATTATATGGTATTATGTATTTTTAAAACATACTGAGTAACAAATCCTTTGAGATGCAATCTTACTCTCCTATCCTCCTGCAAATAAATAAATAAATAAAAGTCCTTACCCTTTCTGAGACCTTTTTTTGGTGTACAGGTAACAGTACTGAATCACATTTTCAACAAATGCCATCTACTAATTCTGCAGGCTTCTGCAAGATGTGAGGTAATCTAACCACTGATTCTGGTGGTACTGCTGAAAAATGAACATTTTCCCCTGGAAAATGTGTTTTCTTGAATGAACAAGATGATGCAGTCAAATCTCAGTTAGATTTTTTTGTACCTCAGTAACACTGTTGTAATGCCACGAGTAAATTTATGCAAAACGATTAAACAAGCTGAAACTTTGTAGATCTACAATGTTAAAACATGTCAAAGTAATTTTAGTAAATAAAAATTTGCAATCACTTAGGTGATGTGTGTGTTATAGCTTATTAGGTAACTCAGTTCTGATCACTGTGTTACTTCAACAGATAAGGCATTTGCCCACTTTTCTGATTGTTTTGTTCGTGAGTTTGCACTAGTGTGCTAGTGACTACCTACACGTTTGTAGTGCAAAACCTATCATTTAAACAGAAAACACTGTGCGTTCAGCTCGTGTTAGTACAGGGTTTGTGTTATATTGTACAATAACAACAAAGGCATATTTATCCGTCTTTTACAATCTGCACATACGTGTCACTGCCACCTGGTGGCCACCATGTTTAGCACAAGCATACCCTTTCACCTACAAATGATCGAAAAACCAAAACGAGTCACCTTTCTGCATTCTTAACCCTCGTTAAACCCACGGGACAAGTCCTGCAAAGCACCGACTGACGCGTGCTTCAAAAACAACCCAACTAAAATGCAATCTTCCAGAAAGGTGACTTTAGCTCCCTACCTGGGTAAACTCTTTTGATAATGCATCGATGGCACCACGCTTTTATGCAGATACTCCGCTGAACAGTCCGTTTTGCTGCTGTAGGACCGTGAAGAAAGACTCAGGGCGGAAGTAGTAACACGAAATCGACTCCCAGATTTTCTCAGAGAAACGGCGCATTGTGTCGAGATTAAACTGGCCATATTTCAGTTAAAGTGCCTCCACTTTTCACTAGAGGGAATCACACCGAGCGGATAAATATAAAAAAGAAATGTCAAAGGCAGTAAAAGCTCGTCTGTCCCTGACTGCAAGTAAACACTGTAGCTATAGCCTGCTAGCTTTAGCCAGCTGCATAAACTGAATCTGTCTTCTTCTTCTTCAAAGAGAAGTTCGATACCAGCGGTGCGTTTAGACAAGTCAGACACGCAACTCAACCATAACTTAACGCAATACCAAAGATAGCGATGTAGCATGAATGAGGGAAAAAACTAACCGGAAAATCAACCTGTGTAAAACATGTCACGTGATTTGCACTTGCTTATCTACTTCCGGGGAATGTGTAGAGGTAAGAGTGTTTTTCGGATTTTACTGTTATTATAGGTTTTTTAATACATGTAAGTACAGTTTGGTAATCAAATAAAACCCAGTGAGGTCATTTATGTAAACCTGGACCAGAACGTAGAAGATGATGACGCATAAATATAAATAGCGCCACCTAGTGGCTAGTTTGTGAATGTGTATATATATATATATATATATATATATATATATATATATATATATATATATATATATATATATATATATACATTGCCCTTATAGAAAAATTGATACATTGACACAAATTGTTCAAAAATAAGTCCATTTATCCATCCACCCAGCATCCAGAGGCAGCTGACCAAGAGTCATTTTGTCAGAAGCACTTCAACTGACTTCTACTGATGCAGAGGATCACTGGCTTTACACTGATCTTCTACCTGATCACTGATCTCCACACTCAGTTCCCCACCTTCCCTCCATCCACACACTGAGCACCGGCTCTTCTCAGGGCTGTGTGCAGAGCTCCCTTCTGTACTGTCTCTGTAGTCCATTCTGCGACAACAACCGTACGAGAAGTTTGCAGATGACACCTCAATCAATCAATCAATCAATCAATCAATCAGTCCGTCCGTCCGTCCGTCTGTCTGTCTGTCTGTCCGTCTGTCTGTCTGTCTGTCTGTCTGTCTGTCTGTCTGTCTCTGTCTCAACAGAGCAAACAACAACATCACAGACTGCTCCCAAAGCTTTGACCTGTTGCTGTCAGGGAGACGGTATGGGTGCATCAGACCAAAGACCAGACTGAATAGGTTTTTTTTTCTCCAAAAGCCATAACCATGCTGAATTTGCAAATGCACTGACTGGACTGTTCATAACATGTAGATTTCATCATATGCTTTACCCTGTTTACTCAAGATATCACCACCTTATAGATAATATAAAAATATACAAAACATGCAGACATCACCACTGCACAATACACAGATATTAATTTGTGACAATAACGTGCAATAACCTGTTTCATTACATCTCTATCTATAAAGTATAAAAGTAATTTTGTTAGGTTCAAACTTTTATTTATTTTAAAATACAATGCATTCAAAATCACAATATTTATGTGTCTAACTGCTTTATAAAACATGGCAATACATTAATATTTTTCTATTGAAGTCAAGTTTAACATTTTTACTATATTAAATTTTAATTTCTTTGATAAAAGGTGGTGTAGTTTTGTACATTTTTTAATCTTGAAAAAAAAAACGTAAAAAGTTTATTAAAGTAACTATTTGCTTTTTGCAATGAAATCAAAGTTCAATTTCTTCATTTGCAAGCTAATACCATGACGTGTGTTCAGGGTTTGTGTAATGAAACTAAATAACCACTAGAGGGCGTCTGTTGTCCAGCAGAAACCAATAATCAAACAAACATATTTTGTCAATACTCATTGAACGTCAGCAAGTTTGTCCTTTAAGCTTTTTCACATTGCTTTTCAAAACTATTGTCTTTTGATGTGTTTTATTGTTAGATAGCTCTATTTTAAATGGATGGTGACAGAAATATATTGTTATATTTGGAAGAATGCTAAACTAAGAGGTTTAGCATAGCCAGACTCACCTATTATATTCTCTGTATTATTATTATTATTATTATTATTATTATTATTATTATTATTATTATTATTATTATTATTATTATTATTATTATTATTATTAATACTAATAATAATAATAATAAAGCCATAAACACAGTATGTATTGAATATTAATAATATAATAAAGTTGCGACTGATAATGATTGAGCGTCATGAAAGATTACGTTTAAATGTGAAACGCCTTTAAAAATAACCTGTTATTTTGTTTTATTATACTTAATTTAACATTTCAAAATGTTAAAGGAATTGATAAATGTGATTTGTTACACATCCAGTATATGGTGTATTATTATTTACATTAGATGTTAAACTAAATCCATTTAAATCATTTATTTTAGATTAGATTAAACCAGCCCAGCTCCTTATGAAGTAACATTTACATCAGCTCACAATGCATCAACACATATTATACCACCCTGACCAAGATGAATGACTTTTGTGTGTTTTTATAATGTTAAATCTCTTCAGCGAGCTACATGGACTCCACAGCTTCAGACTATTTCCAGGAGTTTCTTTAATGTTTAGTTAGGATAAAGTTCAAGTGACTGTCCAGGAAATCAGTCATCTTTAGTCTTTAGGTGATTCCATGGGCAGTTTTGGAGGTATGTTTGCTCCTCTGTGGATCAGCAATATAAACTAGGCTATAAATACTTTTATTCATTCTGCTGTTCATTGATCTCAACATCTTGAACGAATACATTTTTTGCGTTTTCTTTCTTGTTCGTTTTTAAGAATAAAATTTAGGAGAAATTAACAATAAAAAATCGATTCATTTAAAAATCACAAGTCACGCTGGGCACAAAACCCTAATATCTATGTCTATGTACAGAAACTCAGGTTATAGTTGTGTGTATTAATGTCATTCGGAAAGATTTTTATTTTACTGGCAAAATAAGAAACGCAAGCGTTGTTGTTTGAGCTATCTGCTATCGACACATCGAGTCTGGAGCTCCGAGTAAACAGGAAGAAACATTAAAGTGAAGTTAGCTAACAGGTCTCAAAGTACAAGCGAGTGTCTGTGTACGCTGCTGCCCTGGTAGTTCATTTATAACAAAATGACTGAAATACTGACACCAAGGTAAGGTTAGGTTCCCCTGTTTGACCGAGGCGCATTTTTGAATAATTTATAAAGGTTATTTGGTTAATGTTAGACCAAGCTAACTCGAATCGAAAAAAATGTCAAGCAGTCATTGATGCAGACTTTTTTCGGGCTTCTTGTCCCAGTGCTGGTCATATTGTGTGCAAATTGAGCCCATTACTATAAAAATGTAAACGTCTATATATATATATATATATATATATATATATATATATATATATATATATATATATATATATATATGTACGTATGTGGCATTATTAAATCTTTGTTTACCAGGAACTGTAACTTATGAGCGGCTGTTTTTTATTTTTTTAGGGTCAGATTTTCCTTTAAGAGCTCTGAGATCCAAAATGTGGGAATGCTCATCATTTAAATATAGCTTTCTGCATTTACTCGGGTTACCTTTGATACAGGAATTGTTAAGTTACTTTTTGCTGATATGAAAAAAAGTGTGACAAAAGCAATAAGCAATTACATTTCTAGTTTAGTATTTATAGTAATTGCAGAAAACATTGTATTGATTGATACTATATGTTGAGAAATTAATGAGTTAGAGTGAAGTATACTAGCCTGTATAGACACAGGCAAATCCATTATTACTCATCTTTTGCCATTTAGCAGTAGGCCATAATAAAATGGACCAAAATTCTTTTCATTTGATCAAAATAATCCACAAATACATGATCATTATTTATTATGAGGTCAATTGTTGTTTTTTCTTATGCTGCCCACTGATTTATTTGTATCATGTTGACATTGCCAATCATTTTTTCTGTGTTCAATAAGAATTCTGGCCATTGACACCAGTGCTAGTACTGGACTGGAGGGCTTCAAGGCACACGCCGTGTTCCAGGAAATAAGCAAGAAGCTTGAAGAGGTGATTTATAACATTACACAACAACAACAAAAAATGTATTACAAAGATATGACTTCTGGTAATTTGCTTTGTGCTTCTGAGACCGCTGTTTTATTTAATTTTAATAATAAACAAGATTCTCTTATGAGCAACTGATCCAAGCGCATTTCTAAACAAGTTTGTTTTTATCCAGGCCAACTAGTAGACTCTGAAAATGATCATCATCCGATCTAGAGAATCGGTTATATTTGCATGCCTCCACACCAGTCGGGTGTTGAGAAAAGATGACAGAGAAAATAAAGGAGAATATATTTCCTCAGCATGTGTTTTCACTTTCACTTTTCCCAAATTAAGCAAACACTCTTGCTGGAATTGGGGCACAACTTTCAGACTACCGCTGCTGGCTGTTAGTCTCCTGGCTCACAGTCAGAGAGGGATGTTATTATAAAGTTTTATTGTCTATGATAAATTCTTGCATTTGAGAGAAGGACGTTTATTTTTAGTCCTACAAATATTTAGGGTGTATTTTTTTTAAACAGCCAATTATGCAAATAAGGTAATGCCAGGACATTGAACCTCAATTGGGCCATTCCCATCTGCCGACCCGGTACAGATGGGAATGGTCCAAATGGTAGCGCGCGGGCCACATCCAGCCCACCACACCTTTCAACCTGGCCTCCCCAACCCTTTGGGGCCTAACACCCTCCAATTGGGGGATTTTGAAATTTAGAGGCAAAGTTCAAGTCCCCAATATCAATAACTGTTTACGTTGGACAAACACATTAAAACTACAATTAAAGCAGTTTAGATTAAAAAAATAAATAAAAAAACATTTAAAATATTAATAAATTAAGATACAATAATACTTGAACTTTATTTTGAAAGAGCATCTGGCCTTCAGTGTCTGCTGGAAAAAACTCCGGCCCTTCAACAAATGTAGTTGACGGCCCCTAATGTAGGACTTTCAGGGAAGTGGAGAGCTACTTTTCTTACTGAGGAGCTGGACACAAAGTAATAAAGAGGTGGCTGTTTTTATGCTTCTTAATATTTTCAGCCATCATATTAGGCTGAAAATGTACTAATGCAAAATGTTGAACATTAACACTGAAAATAATACACCTAGTGGACTAAAATAGTTATAAAGTTGGTGCAAAGTTTGTTTTTCCTGTCCCAAAATCTTGGATTGTTGCCTTACGAATTAGCATAAAGATGAAAGAAAACATCATTGTTCCCGCTTGTTCTTTCATTTATTTTGCTGCTGTCAAGTGTTTGTTTGACTCAATGTGAAATCTCTGTGTTTTGTAGGAAGGGGAGCAGTTTGTGAAAAAAATTGGAGGAGTGTTTTCCTTCAAAGTGAAGGATGGACCAAATGGACAGGAGGCAACTTGGGTGGTGGATGTGAAGAACGGCAAAGGTTGTGTTCACAATGACGCAGGTCAGAAAACCCAGAGGCCTATCTACCATCTGCTTCTTGTGCAATACTGGATGTACTTTAGTATGTCTGTGTCTTTTATTCTGCATAGTTACGGAAACACAATTTTCCATTTTATTTGTTGTTTTTAGTGGTTGAAGGTTACAATGATAGCTTACTGCCTTTCTGTGTTTACCTGTAATCTAGTTATTTTTTTCTTCTTCCTTTTCTCTAAGTGTGTGTGCTGCTGTAGCAAGTGACTTTCCCCACTGTGGGATCAATAAAGTCTGTTCTATTTTATTTTATTCTACTCACCGCTGTATTACCTTTTAGTCAACATATGTCTAATCTTTCTTTGTGATGGGCATTTTTATATCTTCATTCTGTAGATAAGAAAGCAGATTGCACCATTTCCATGTCAGATACAGACCTGTTGGCCTTGATGACTGGCAAAATGAACCCTCAGACTGTAAGTATCCAGAGTAGTGGTGGATATTTGTTTTTGTTTTTTTAACATACATTATGCAGTAAACTAATCAAATATTTGAATTTTGTTGTATTTATTTAGGTACAGAACGTTATTTCCTATACATTGATCCTGAAAATGGCCATGAAAAAAACTAACGATCACATATAAAGTACAGTAGTCCATCGCTCTAAGGCGGTTCACACTTCGTGGCTTAGCGAAGTGTAAGATTTTATGTCTAAAATGAGAAAATGTTTGCAGCTGGGAGGGAAAGTATTGGATGTGACAATCTGAAAAGTCTTTGCTTGGTGAGTTCACAGCCAGGATTTCTCCTGGTTTTAGAAGTTACAGTGGTAGCAGCGAGCGGGGGCAGAAGAGGAGTAGAAGTTGGACCCGAACTGGTCGCACAGAGTGGTGCATCTGGTTGTTTTATTGATTTCGTGGTGCTGCTATGGCTGTAATATAATCAGCGGACAGTGTTCTAGTGGTGTTTTTGTAAGGAAAAACAGTCAGGCAGCTGCTGTATCTGGCCGCAGTGTGTGTGTGTGTGTGTGTGTGTGTGTGTGTGCGCGCGCTCCTCACAGCAGTGAGAGACAGACTTCAGTCGGAGGCTCCAGCATCCAGAATGATAATGAATCGCGCATGCGGGAAGCCTCCGGGGACTGATTCTATCCGCCAATCGGAGGCTCCCCCTAATGGTAGGCGTGATTTTGAGCTAGCCAATCAGTCAGCAGCGAGTGTGTCGGCCCTGTTCGGCTTCAGGCAGATCACATTTTATGGAATAACTTAAGCAAGGAAAATAAAGCTCCAAGATCATTGTTTATTTGAAAAATGCGTTAAATCAATCGCTTTGTGGAATTATGGAACTGAACATTAAGTTAGAACTGTTTATTGTAAACAAGATCAGATCAGAATAGAGAAAAAGAAAAGAATACAAATATATTTTTTAAATATTTAGATTTGAGATTTATCTTTGTTTATTATATTTGTGTGAAGGTTTCATAAGGATGCATTTGATGTTTTTATTTTGTAGAAATGGACAGACTTAAAATATGTCTTTTCCCTTTGGCTCCTTTATTCATGCACCTATAATCTCTCCAGGTTTCAGCTCCCCGACTCGGTTCATAGCTGCTTCTGAAACTTTAATGGCTCTTTGTCCTATTTTAACCAAATAAAACCAAATTAGTCATTTTTTATTGTTACCTCTGAGTATCTGAGCTCCAACTCTTTAACAGGATTAGTACTTTCCTCCTGAACTTGCTGCATCCAGTCTTGTACATGGGACCTCTGCTCTTTGGTGGAAGTGCTAAGCGTTAGCTAATTTAGCTTAACGAGTTTATTTCCTTTTATTATTGTTGCGTTACATACAATTCCTAATTGTTATTTTAACATTTTAAAAAAATCGATGTTCCTGCTTTAGAGGTTAACTTTGAAACTCTGAACTGAAAACAGAGACGTCGGTGGATCCCAGCGGTCAGCCAGTTCACGCACATCTGTTAACTGGCATGTAGGGTTTAATTTATAAAACAAGATGTACATGATAATCTGAATAATGTGGTTTTTTTTCAATATAAAATGGATTGTTTCACATTGCCCACTGGTGTCATTAAATAAAATAACGATTTGTTCTTTTCTCTCCAGTGAATCGGTCATTTTTATCAACGTCCACTGCCTGATTTAGATTATTCTTTTAGTCCCTTCAACCCACGATGTTTATTTCCCCGCTTTGCATGCGTGCCACACGTTTTCCCGACGCGTCATAAGCCTTTGTTGCCGTTGCCCCACTTTTCTCTGGGTTGAGTTAATCTCTCACGGTAATTCTTAAAACCAGCAGCTCTGAGTTCTCCCAACACAGAATGAACACAGCGTCAGATTTCAAGCTGTTCCGATGTCTGTTTTTTTTAAATTTCCCCTCTCCTTTATCCTTTCTGATTCCCAGGCATTTTTCCAGGGCAAGCTGAAGATCACGGGGAACATGGGTCTTGCCATGAAGCTACAAAACCTGCAGCTGCAGCCGGGCAAAGCTAAGCTGTAGAGGAGATGCTCAAACTAACCAACCTGCTGAGGAGCCCGTCTGGCTGAGATTAACCTCCGTTAAACACTGTTAGTGCTAAAAGGCGTCATGGCTGGACTGAACCGCTTTTCATCTCGGCTGATCTCGGTGGCTGAGCCGGGTCGGTCTAACTGGAGAATAGGATAGATGTTTTCCTAATCAAGACCCTTTCATGGTAACATCTTTCTCTGGGTGTACATGTGAGAATAACACATTAATGTTAGTCATGGACACAACTGATAAAGTGCCTCTAAATATCAGATAAAAGTTTCTAGTCACCAGTCTGTGGCTGGGTTGGCCCGACTTTTTATTGTAATCATTTTCCTGTATGATCACGTTACTATTGAGCTCTAAAATATTTCTAATTAAAACGATCTTTGCAGCACGATCTTGACTCCAGTGTGTCTTTGTGTGTGCTGTTTTTGGTTTTGCACCCTTTCCCCTCCCTGAGCTCGTGTTTGCGTCCTGCTGGAGCTGTAAACCCCCAGTGAGGTGGCCCCTGAAGCAAGGCTTAATGCTCACTTGCACTTTTTCACCGCTGCAGCGACCTGATTCCAGACCGCCGTGCCACACATGCAGGAGCGTGGCTGACAGACAAATCTTTTAACTAGCTTTGACCCAGATTCCTCTGCAGCTTTGGCTCGGCTCTTGGACTCTTCCGGGTCTTTCTCTGGGTTATTTTATTGCTCCACGCTGACTGGTTGTGATACAAGCGTGTGATTGGATTTTTCAGTTTTTATTGAGGACAATTATTTCAATGAAATTTTCTTCGTTGAAACGGTTATTCTATAGGCCTAGCATAAGAAGAAGCAGCCTAATCCTTGCTGATGAGAAACAAAGTGATGGAGTAGTCCTTATCTTGTAAAAGAGCTCTGGGAAATTCAGCAATGCCTCACTTACAGATGTACAAACGTTTCTGTTACTAAAACAACTTAAAACTGACTAAACTAATACTCCTCATCTTGTTTAATTATTTTCATTTTGTGCACTTTTGTTACGAAGCGTGCTTGTAATAAATTAATTGGAACTGAATTGACAAAGTTGCATTTGAAATTCAAACGATAAAGACTAGAATTAACCAGGATGCACGGTGATGAGAGAACTTCCCAGTGGATTGGTTAGACACAACTGGAGCTTTTGGGGAAAATCCCATCAGATCTAACGTCAAAGACACTAAAATGAAGCATCGCTGGACCTGCTGCAGAACATAGCAGAGGTTGGGCTCTGAGGTGGGACTCCCGTGGGGGCGACGGTGGCACAGGAGTTAAGTGCTCGCCCCGTAATCGGATGGTTGCAGGTTCGAGCCCTGCTCAGTCTGTCGCTGTCGTTGTGTCCTTGGGCAAGACACTTAACCCACGTTGCCTGCTGGTGGTGGTCGGAGGGACCGGTGGCGCCAGTGCTCGGCAGCCTCGCCTCTGTCAGTGCGCCCCAGGGCAGCTGTGGCTACATCGTAGTTCATCCCCACCAGTGTGTGAATCTGTGTGTGAATGGGTGAATGACTGATTGTGTTGTAAAGCGCCTTGGGGGGTTCCAGGACTCTAGAAGGCGCTATATCAAATACAGGCCATTTACCATTTACCGTGATTCGTGCAAAGTTCAATTAAATGTCAAGACTTAAAACAACCTGGAGCCCAGTGTCAGAAAACCTGGTCTCGGTCACAGGTAGCAGGATATTGACCCATAAATAAAAAAAAGAAGAATTGACTAAAATGAACATTGAACCACTCTGAAAGGACCTTCTATAAGCCTTCAAGATTCTGTGCACATCTGTGAGGAACATCTGGAGAAAACCCCTTCAGACCTGAGACAGGCGGAGCAGTTTGCTCAGGAGTGGACCAGAATACCTGTGGACAGGTGAGACATTATAGAAATAACTTCCTCATAAGGTTGAGTTAAAGTTAAAGGACCAGTTTCACTAGTTGTTTAGTTGAACTGCAATTCAAACGCAGTCACGTTTTCATTAGCTGATTGCCAATAAAGTTTTGATTAGCGTTGCCTTTTTCAGTTTCAAGCTTTTTCAGTGATAATTGTGGGTTTTTCTTTCGAGTCAATGAACAACATCATTCCTGTCTAGCAGCAAGAACACGCCTGTTTCCTAAAACTAAAACTTACGTTAAATAACAGGAGAGTAACTACATCATATGCATCCACGAGTGGATAAGCACACAGCAGATAGTTGAGTAGTGTGAAGTTAAATGCATCCTAAATTACAGAAATGATGCTTTTTTTTGCTTTTGTTTTTGGAAACAAGCTGGAAACAAAGATGAGCGCTGCTGACCTGAGTTCTGCCAAACTCAAATGAGAACCATCAAGTCCTGGGCTAAATAAAAAAAGTTTAGCTGTCCTGCCTGTGGTGAATGTGGCGTGTGCATGTCTGATATTATAAAATAAGGCCTTCTAAAATGCCTTATGTTATTATAATGGACAGTATCGGTTCCACCACGATGGCACAAAACATGCCACTGTCCAGATGACAAATCACCTTTTTAGGCCATTTTTTGCTCACATTTGTATTAAACTGATGTTCATGTAGGGTGAGGATGGAGGCCTGACTCGCTCCAGACGTATCTCCACGAGACACAGACTGTTTCTTTTGTTTCTTCTCCAGCTCTTAAAACACTTACAGTGACCCAAAATGAAATGAGAGATTATGAGAATGCAGCTGGTTCCTCTGCTGTGTACAAAAAGAAGCCAAAGATAAAATAACACTTTAGCCTTGGCTGTTTCAAAAATGTAAGACAGATTTCCCAAGATTCACTATTAATCCATCCCATATGATCCTTTCATGTGCTACAGAATGATAAACAGAAGATCTGGCAACCAGTTTCAAACAGCCATCAGTCGTTTGGAAAATGGGTTGTTGTGAGAAAGTCCTCCACTGGGCCGGAGTTGGGGAAGGTTCAGCAAACAGCCCCTCCAAGGGGAAAAGAGTTAGCCAAGTATGATGACTAACAACCGGAGCATGAACAAGAGAGGGGGATTTTTTCTTCTCCAGTTTGAGAACAGAATCAAGGATACACACACAGAGTTGTTTATTTTTTCTGTCTGAAAGCTGCAGCCCAGTGGGCGTTCACTATAAGTGCACAACCTCAGTTCCTTCAACTGTGCTCCACCCATCCATCTCTCCATGTATTTGTCTCCAGTTTGACCACAAATAGCTTAACTCCATTTACTGATGAAAACACTGTCCAGATGACTTCTATTAAAGCACTTTTGTTTTCTCTGACAAAGCTTTTGCCTCGAAACATGCTTCAGAAAGTTAAACCAAACCCTATTTTGCGTCTCCAGTCATATTTGTGAATCGCTGTGTTGGCGAGATGAAAGGCATCATTTCTATCAGAAACCATGTGACAGTGTCAGGAAATGGTAGATGTTGAATAAGAACACAAAATGCAGTAAATCCAGGAGGCAGCAAGTTAAAAATGGATAATAAAGCAAGGGCACAAGGGCACAAGGGGACAAGGAACCAACAACGAACTCTGGACAGGGCTGGGTTTAAATACACTGAGGATGTGAGTGGAGACAAGCAACAGGTGTGATGAGTACTGATGATAATGATGGACAGATGTAATTATTTAGTTCTGGGGAAGGTAGGCAAAATACATACAGAAGGCAGTACGTATATACATGCATACACACACACACATATATATATGTGTGTGTGTGTGTATGTATGTGTATATATATATATATATATATTTACATATATGTATGTGTGTGTGTGTGTGTGTGTGTGTATGTATGTATATATATAAAATGTATGAAATCTCAAAAAGCAACAGGTAAATCATTGTTAGAAAGTCAATTTTTTAATCGTGTATTTTTATTTTTTTGCAGTTGCAGAAAACCATTGCTGATGGTGGCCAACCAGCTACCAAAAAGGCAAAAATGTCCAACCAGAACATTGAGGACGCATTTACAAGTACTACAAAGTACAAGAGTGATGCCAAAGAACAACAAATTAAAGAAGAGGCTATCGCTACATGGACTGGATGTACAGGATTGCCGGTCACAACAGGAGAAGATGAGGATTTTATTCTGATGATGGAAAGTTTGGATAAGAAGTTTACTGTGCCAAAGAAAACCAAGATAAGTAATTTAATTGAAAAACACTATGAAAACAAAAAAGCTACATTTAAGAAAAGACTGTCTAGTGCCAGAAAAGTATGTATTGGGACTGATCTGTGGACTAAAAAGGGACTGACAGCATCATTCCTTGGCATAAGTTGCTGCTTTTTCTGTGTTGAACAACAAAAACCAGAACACTTACTACTAGCTCTTTAACAACTTGACCATCCACACACTGCCCAGTCCATTAAGGCTTGTGTGGAAAAGTGCATGCAAGAATGGGGGATCCCAAATGAGAAAGTGCTCACCGTAATAACAGACAATGGTAGCAACATGGTGGCAGCATTCAAACATCGTGCTCCAGAAGATGAAGATTCCAGCTCCGATGATCCAGATGCATCCATCCTAAGTGAAAGTGATTCCAAGGAGACAGAAAACCTGCAGTGTCAGGACATGGGCATGGACAGGATGCCATGTGTCGTCCATACGCTGCAGCTTGTTGTCCACATGATAAACAAGGAGGAAAGCATCAACAGAGTCTTGAACAAAGTCCGATCAATCGTGAAACTTTTTCGCAAGTCATCAGTCGCAACACAGAAGATTTTGGATGAGTGCGGCCTAACTGTTGTGAATGACTGCCCCACACGCTGGTCAAGTACTTATGAAATGGTTGCACGTCTCCTCAGAGTTAAAGAATCTGTTTGTGAAGGAGCAAACGAGATGGGATGGGACTGCTTGCTCTCAAGTGAGTGGCAGAAGCTGAAGTCAATGCAAGAACTTTTGCAGCCTTTTGCTGAACACACACACTCTTCAGAGTGACACAATGTCTATGTCATTAATACTCCCTGCTCTCTTTGATTTACTCAGCCATCTGGCAGATGTGGAACAAAACACAAGTCGAGATGTTGCTGCTCTAGCACGTAAAATGGAAGGGAATGTGAACCAGCGTTTTGCCTGGGTACTTGATCCCTCAGATGACACGTTTTCCCCACTTGTAGCAGCTGCTTGCTTTCTCAATCCTACTGTGTGTCAGACCCTCCTCAATGTGGCTGATGATAACATTCAGGAGCTGCTCAAGCAGGCAGAAGGGTATGTTGTTTGGTGCTCTCAGACACAGGAGAACCACTCTGATCTGGAGGAACTGAATGGACCTGAACCGGCACCACCCGCCGCCGCCTCCTCTTCATCATCTGCCTCCTCCTCCAGACAACCAGTCTTTAGGTTTCTCTCCAAATTCGGAACAAAGCCTAAACCAAAATCTTCCAAGTGTAGTGTTAGACAGCAGATAAGCCAGTATAAGGAAGAGCTCTCACAGTCCATCACTTGTGAAACGGGAATGGAGTTTTGGCTTGGAAAATGTGACACATTTTATCACAGCCTGAAACCATATTGGCAATGCCAGCTTCTCAATCTTTTGCAGAAAGAGTGTTCAGTGTCACAGGTGACCTCACTAGAGGGAAACGCAACAGAGCAAAGGTCACACTAGCACGAAGTGCTTTTCTCAAAATGAATCGCAGCAAATAAATATTCACACTGTTTGGTTGAGCCTGTATTGTAACAAGTGAATTTCTACAGACTCAGGGTTAACATGTTTAAATTTGCTGTTCTTGTAAATTCTTGTTGTGCAATTGCTAAAAAGAGCACCTTTGTAATTTCCAGTGTGCTTTTTGTTTTTTATTAAACACGTAAGTGTTAAACATGTGAAGTGTTTTTTTTATTCAAATATTCTATGTTCTTAGCTGTGTGTGCTATATCTGATCAGTGGTGGTTAAGAGTTTGGACCCTGTGTATTAAATTACACTAGTTTTTCCGTGCTCTATACAAAAGTAGGAAATTACTTCATTAGAAAAAATATATGCATTTTGTTGACTAAAATTACTTGTTATTTTCGTCGACTAAAATGGGACTAAAACTAAAATAAATCTAATGACTAAAATTGGACTAAGACTAAAATTAATTTTTAGCCAAAAGACTAAGACTAAAATAAAATTAAAATTTCCTGTCAAAATTAACACTGATGGACAGATGTAATTATTTAGTACTGGGGAAAGGAGGCAAAATACAAAGAAAACTGGAGAAGAATGGTTACACTAAAACTAAAGACACAAGGTATAATAGACTACCAAACCATAACTAATAACTGCTAAAAGGCTAGAAGAGAATATAAATAAAACAGGGAGGATAGATCCATGCTTTCGTTCTTTTTTAAACACAGAAACAGTTTTGTTTACCTGTTTGTAGCTACGGTTTCGCCGACAGCTGCCGGCTTCTTCAGGCTGACGCTGATGGTGGCGCGTCACTTCCTTCTCCGTTTATCCGCGGGCAGCAGAGGACGTTGTCGCCCTCTACTGCCCGCTCTGCCCTCTCCGACGATGCAGTCCCATGCGTGGTCCAGCGTGTAAACTCCGTCGTCCCTGTTCATGGTCCCACATCCACGTCTCCTTATCTCGATTGCTTCCTTGATCCATCTTTTGTATTTTTGTTGTTCGGTGGTTATGATCCATGTGCTGTCCCAGTCCATTATATGGTTTTCTCTTAAGCAATGATCTGTTACGGCTGACTTTTTTATTGTACTTTCTGCTTCTTCTTTTGCTGCTCTTGTGTGTTTACGATTTGCCTCTTTCTCGCACTCCTTTCTGTGTTCTATTGTCCGTGTGTTGAGTTGGCGTCCGGTTTCTCCTATGTATGTTTTATTGCATATTTTTCATGGGATTTCGTAGATGACTCCACATTTTTGTCCAGCTGATATTTTGTCTTTTGGGTGTACTAATCTGTTTCTAACTGTTGTGTATGGCTTTGTTGGTGTGTTTATGTTGTGTTTTTTCATTGTTGCTCTTATTTTTTCCGTTATGCCTCTGATGTATGGTAGGGTTATCACTGGTTTTGGTTCTTGTCTTTCTGGGTTTCTGGTTCTTTTTTTGGGTTGTTCTTTGCTTTCTGTTTTTGTTTGTTGTTTTCCTTTGTTTATTGCCCATGTCGGGTATCTGCAGGTCTTTAAAGCGTGTTGTATGTGTTTGTCCTCTTGTTTACGGTCTCTCTCTTCTGTTATTATGTTTGCTCGGTGATATAATGTTCTGATTACTGACATTTTGTGTATGGTGGGGTGTTCTGATGTCCATAATAGATATTGGTCTGTGTGTGTTGGTTTCCTGTATGTGTTTATGTTTAGGGTCCCGTCGGTCTGCCTGGTGATTTTCATGTCCATAAAAGCTATGCTGCCTTCTGTTTCTAACTCATAAGTGAATTTTATGTTGCCCGTGTCATCAATATTGTTTAAGTGTTGTGTTAGTGTTTCTGTTTGACCTTTTGGTATGATTTCCAGTATGTCATCCACGTAGCGTTTCCATAGTTTTATTTTGCAGTTTGGGGGGGCAGTGGCTATGGCTTTTTGTTCTAGGTCCTCCATGAAAAACTCGCACAGGGTGGCTGATAACGGGTTACCCATGGCGAAGCCTTCCAGTTGTTTGTATATTGTGTTGTCGTACGTGAAGTAAGTGGAGTTAGCTACCAGTCCTATCAGTTGTGCTATGTCATCTGCTGTGAGGTTTGTTCTTTTGTTTAAAGTCTTGTCCCGTCTGATTCTGTTAACTACTATGTCTATGGTTTTTTTGGGTTGGTGTTTTTGTGAACAGAGATGTGACGTCATGTGAGATGAGTATGTCGTTGTCTTCTATTGTAATTTCATTTAGTTCTTTTGCCAGTTCTATGCTGTTTTTGCAGTGTTGGTCTGTATTTCCTAATAACGGGCTGATGATTCTGCTGATATCTTTTGCCATGTTGTATGTTGGTGTACCTATGCTGTCAACTATTGGTCTAAGTGGGGTGTTTTGTTTATGTATTTTTGGTGTTCCATATATTCTTGGTGTTATGTTTGCTGTGGGAATCCAGTGTTTGTACATTTTTTCTGTTATTTTGCCTTTTTCGTGCAGTGGCTTCAGTAATTTTTTCATGTTTTTCTTAATGTTTTCTGTTGGATCTTTTTTAAGTATTTCATATGTATTTTTGTCTTCTAGCATCTGTTTCATCTGTTGTTTATATTTTTCTCTGTCCATAACTACTGTGGTTCTTCCTTTATCTGCCGGTAGAATAATTATCTGTTCATTTTTGGATAAAGCTGTCATGGCTGATTGTTCTTCTTTTGTGATATTGCTGTGTTGAATTTGGCTGTTTTTTAATATCCCAACTACGTTATTTCTGAGTTCTGCTTTCTTTCCCTCATCTGTGATCTGTTGACATGCTAGTTCTGTTGCTACAATAAATTCATCATATGGCCTGACGAAGCCGGCAGCTGTCGGCGAAACTGTAGCTACAAACAGGTAAACAAAACTGTTTCTGTGTTTAAAAAAGAACGAAAGCATGGATTTACAAAGACACAGCAAGAACACACCTAAGATGTTCAGGGAGGATAGATGTCACGCAGATAAACAAAAGCTACAAAGAAACTAAACCTGAGGATCACTGAAATTGAAAAGCTTGGAGAAGGTAGGATAAACAATGAAACTGATGAAACTAAACAGGATTTAAAAAATGAAAACCTGAGGAGAAAATGGAATGAATACAACAAAAGCTAACTGAAGAATAAACTAAGAGTGGGAGAATAGATTTCTTGACAAGGGAAAACAGCTAAGGAACACAGGGGTCAAAGGTTAAGGACACACAGGGGGCAAAACTAAACTAAATACAACATAGACTAAACACATTAGGAAGGGAAGATGAAAATGCAATCTATATTTAATGGTGCAAATAAAATCAAGTACACAGGGGATACACGGAAGGGACTGGGGAGACATGGGACGCAGGACACGACAGACAGTTATTGGGAGAGCATCATCTTAGGTAAAGGGAAACACACACACAATGCCTGCGCTTGAAAAATCCACAGATAACAGACTATAAATTAAAGCTTTTTACATAGCGTAACCAACTACATGAAATATGTTTTTAGTTGTTCATGCAAAGGTAGAACAAAAGTGGGGACAGCATACATCCCTGAGGTGCACCAGTGATGGTGGTCCTGCTGCACCATGTTGCTTTCTGCAGCCTCACCTGCTGCCTCCTAAATGGCAGAAAGTTGTGATCCACTAACAGTGGGAGGCTAGGGCAGAGAACTGGAACAGCTTCTGGCTTCAAGCTGAAGTTCACAAGCATTTATCGTGTGTTTGATCCCTGCAGTGTTGGCATTTAGCACGGTGTAATGCAGCCCCATGAACCCGGGCATTTTTTGATCTCGTTCTTTTGGTCACTACCCAAAGCTCATGACCATAGGTGAGCGTGGGAACATAGATTGACCAGTAAATCGAGAGCTTTGCCTTCCGGCTCAACTCTCTCTTCACCACAACAGAGTGCTATAGCGCCCGCATCACTGTGCAGATGCAGCACCGATCCACCCATCGACCTCGTTCCATCTTTCCCTCACTCGTGAACAAGACCCTGAGATACTTAAACTCCTCCACTTGAGGCAAGACCTCATCCCTGATCTGGAGAAGGCATTCTACCCTTTTCTGATTCAAGACCGTGGTCTCGGATTTAGAGGAGCTGATTCTCATCCCAGAAATGTTATGAAATCTAAAAGAAAATTTCTGAAAACGTATCATGACTGTAATTCGTTCAAACTGAAATGAAAGCATGAGACACCAGGAAAAGGCAGCTGTGTTAAGAACCAACATTTGAGAACACAAGAAAGAATTTGTGTTTTTGGCCAGATCACAGCTGCCTCTGTTCCTTATTCCCTTCCTTTTCACTCTTTCCTGTCTTTCTTCCATTTAACCTTCCCTCTCCCACTTCACATCTGGAGAGTGTCTGGTGTGGCCGTGTGACTACTTGCCTGCCATGGGACAGCCTACGTTGGAACCGTACATTGCACTTCAGTGCTTTTCAGCGAATGTTGATCCGAAGGGGTAAAGTACAAATTGAAACTGAATGTTGCTTTTTGTGCAAACCTTACTGCTGCATGCTTTACAAGTGTGTCTTACGTTACAGGGTGCATTTTTAGTGCTAACATAATTCATCTAAGCGTGACATTACTGGTATGTGTTGGACAATCCAGTCAGTTAAATAGTGCAGCTGAGCCAACACACAGTGTCTGCTCCTTGTAAAGAGCATTAGAAAATGTAAGGGATCTCTACAAGCCAGAACCATTTTCACTTCATATCTGCAGACTATGAGCTAGGGTAAGGTTGTTTACTTAGAGATAGATTTAAACTTCTCTTTGACCGCCAGATGCTACGATGTTTGTTTTAGAGTTGTGTAATAAGTGCGTTCGGCGTGGGTGTGTGCATGCTGCAGTATAAAGTTCTTGCATGTCTCTGTGTCCTACACACACTTGAGTGAATGCTTTCCACACAATTTCTCCTCACACTTTAATGAAAAGCTGTAAAGGTTGAAAGTTTGGATTTTTGTTTTTAGAGCGTTTTAAAGGAAAATTGAATTGTTCTTGAGAAAACAAAAATGAAAGCTACCAATGGGTTTTCCACTCGTTGGCATGTGCAGGCACCAGCAACCTTCTGGTGCCTGCACATGCATTCAATGTGCTGAACAGAGCCCATTAGGATTAGGATGAGGGAACATTTTCCAGGGATGTGAACTAAAGAACTCGTTGACAGAGACCCCTGCCAGGTGCTCCTAGTTCACTCTCGTGACTCGTTATGGATTACCAGGTCTGGCATCCTTTGGCATCACAGGATTCATGTGTGCACCAGGTGGTGCTGAGTTGACACGAGTTTGTTAGTCTGATCAAAAAATGCATCATCCTTTGACTTAGCGGCTTGGTGCCAGGCACACTGACAAACTAATCTATGGATGTGAACAAACCATGCCTAGCACAAATGCTCAATAACAAAACACCACTCAGGTTGTGATCAGTGAGGTTGTGTTTCCCAATCACACAGTGATCATGTCACAATCCACATGAGTAATTAGAAGAAGAAGAAGAAGAAGAAGAAGAAGAAGAAGAAGAAGAAGAAGAAGAAGAAGGAGAAGAAGAAAATATCATTTCTATAGCACCTCTCAAGATAAAAATCACGAGGCGCTTCACAAAAACAAAAAAAAAGTAAAAATATAAAAAAGCATTTAGAAAATGGTTAAAAATATATTTCAAATGAGCAAAAAATAAGACAATTGTGATTAAAAATGTTAAAGAGAGAGTGAACAGGAAAGAGGGAAATCGGTGGATCCCGAAGAAGGTGGAATAGGTGGGGAGAGCAGAATAAAGAGAGAGAGGTGAAGAAGGTCATACAAAAGCCAGCTTGAACAAGTGAGTCTTCAGCTGCTTTTTAAAGGAGACCACTGAGTCCACTGATCTCAGGCTCAGGGGGAGAGAGGTCCAGAGTCTGGGGGCGACAGCAGCAGATGATCTGTCACCTTTGGTCTTTAGCCTGGTGCTGCACAACCAGTAGGCTTTGATCACTGGACCTCAGGGACCTGCTGGGGGTGTAGGGACTAAGAAGATCACCGATGTAAGATGGTGCTTGTCCATGTAAGGCCCTATAGACCAGAACCAGGATCTTGAAATGAACCCTGAAGTTGAAGCTGGAGGAGAAGCGGGGTGATGTGGGTGTGTTTGGAGGACTTGGTCAGAAGCCGAGCACAGGCGTTCTGAACCACCTGTAGACGGTTCAGGGAGGTTCTGCTCAGACACGTGAAAAGAGAGTTACAGTAGTCTAAGTGTGAGGAGATGAAGGAGTGGATAACTTTCTCAAGTTCAGAGCGGGACAGAATGGGACTCAGCTTAGCAATGTTCCTGAGATGGAAGAAGGAAGAGCGAACAAGAGAACTGACATGAGAATCAAGGGTGAGAGCTGGGTCAAAGGTCACGCCAAGATTCCTGACGGAAGGTTTGGTGTGAGAAGCAAGCTGACCAAGAGAGTCTCTGACTTTGGGAACCAGCTTGTCTGGGGCACAGATGAGGATCTCAGTCTTATCTTCATTCAGCTGAGTCTAAGCAGGTGTGTAACAGCTGCAGCTTAGACATCTCATGGGGCTTAAAGGAGATGTACAGTTGGATGTCATCTGCATAAAGATGGTAGGAGATTCCTTTGAAGGAGCTCAGGATGTGCTGAAGAGGAAGCAGATGGAGGAGGAAGAGCAGAGGCCCCAGCACAGAACCTTGTGGGACACCATGGGTAAGAGAGGTGGTGGAGGACCTAAACTTGGAGACGGCCACAGAAAAGGAGCGCTCAGAAAGATAAGTGGAGAACCACTCAGAGCAGATCCTGATAGGCCTACCCAGTCTCTCAGCTTCTCCAGTAGCAGGTGATGGTCAACAGTGTCAAAGGCTGCAGTCAGGTCCAGCAGGACCAGAACAGAACAGTCCCCTGCATCACTGTGAGTCAGAAGGTCATTAGAGACCCTAAGAAGAGCTGTTTCAGTAGAATGAGCTCTACGAAAACCTGACTGGAAGCTATCATAGATGTTATGTTCATCAAGAGCAGCTGTGAGTTGTTTAGCCACAACCTTTTCCAAGATCTTGGAGATGAACGGAAGTTTAGAGATGGGTCTGAAGCTGCTATGGAGAGAGGCATCAAGACTCGGTTTTATAAGAAGCGGGTGGATTACAGCGTTCTTAAAGTAAGCAGGAACCTGACCAGAAACCAGAGAAGCATTAATTATAGAGAGCACGCTGGGACCGATGGACTGAAAAGCACTTTTAAACAAAGATGAGGGTAAGATGTCGAGGGGGCATGCTGAGGTATTCATAGAGTTAACTAGCTTGGTTAACTCAGGCAAAGAAACAGGAGCAAAGCTATCTAGGATGATGGGCCTGGTTGGAGTCGGGAGAGGCAGCGATAAGGCTGAAGGAGAGATGCTAGATCTAACCTTATTGACTTTGTCCACAAAGAAAGACAGAAAGTTTTCACAGTCTGTAACAGAGTGGATGGAGGCTGTAGGAGTGGCAGGAGAGACGATGCTGCTGATGTTGTTAAACAGCACCTTGGGGTTCTCTTTGCTCTGGGACACCAGGTTGGAGTAATAGGAAACCCTCACGTCTCTGACTGCAGAGTTAAAGGATGTCAGAAGATCCTTTAGGTGCAGCAGATGGACGTGGAGATGGGTTTTCTTCCACAAGCGCTCAATTTTTCTGCATTGGCGCTTTAGGCTGAGAAGGCTGTCATTAAACCAGGGAGTAGGGTTCACCGCAGGAACTGATCTGGTTCTGACAGGACAGATGTTGTCCAGAATGGAGAAGCAGTGCACGTTAAACTGAGAAGTTAAGGAATCTGGGTCGTTATCAGAAGAACAGGGTGGATCAAAAGCAGCCGAAAAATTGCTATGTTGCTGTGTTCTCATTAAGAAAACGAGAACTAACCATACGGCGAGCAGGAGGTGGGGACGCAGAAACTGAGAAGTTAAAGAAAATGCAATGGTGATCTGAAATATAAACGCCCTCAGGACGAACACTGTCAACATTTAGACTCAGGGTAAAAACAAGGTCTAGAGTGTGCCCCCTGGTGTGTGTGGGGCCAGAAACATGCTGGGTAAAACCGAAGGAGTCCATAAGGCTGGAGAAATTCATGGCAAACAGATCGGAGGGATCATCAACGTGGATGTTTAAGTCACCAACAATCACCAGTCTGGACAGCTTCACAGTGGAGGATAGAAAGTCACTAAACTCCTGAAGGAAAGAACTGTTTGGACCAGGTGGACGATAGACCACAGCACAGTAGAACGGTCCTTACGCCCGACTTTAATCAGCTGCAGTTCAAAGGAAGCAAAGTGACCAGAGGTTGTAGAGCTACATGGAAGATGGTCTCTGAAAACAACAGCTAGTCCTCCACCATGACCAGAACCCCGGGGCTGGCTAAGAAAAGAATAACCACTCGGGCAAAGTTCAATCAGACCAGAATAATCAGATGTTTGCTGCCAAATTTCAGTCAGAAACAGAAAATCCATGCTTTTAGAGAGAATTAGAACAATGAAAGCCCCGACAGCTCTTTGGGGATGCCATTCAGAAACTCCAAGAAGAAAAGGCAATCTGAACTGTTGTTTTATGAATAAGCACAAACATCTGAAACATTGTGCCCAAGAACAGCAGCATTTTCTGCCAGGAGTCAAACCTGTGGCTGTGCAGTGGTTAGAGCAAGTGGTTGCAGCAAGAAGTTCCTGGGTTTGCTTCCCAGCCTGGGATCTTTCTGCATGGAGTTTGCAAGTTCTCCCTGTGCATGTGTGGGTTCTCTCCGGGTACTCCGGCTTCCTCCCACAGTCCAAAAAATCATGACTGTTAGGTTAATTGGTCTGTCTAAATTGTCCTTAGGTGTGAGTGTGTGTGTCTGATTGTTTGTCCTGTGTGTCTCTGTGTTGCCCTGCGATGGACTGGCTCTCTGTCCAGGGTGTACCCCGCCTGATTGTCCATTGACCGCTGGTTACACGTCGTCTGCGGTTGTGAGGCCGATTGGATGTACTGCCATATTCTCTGAAACGCCTTTGGAGACGGCTTATGGTGGAGAAATGAACATTCAATGCACGAGCAACAGATCTGGTTGACATTCCTGCTGTCAGCATGCCAATTGCACTCTACCTCAATGCTTGTGGCTTCTGTGGCATTTTGCTGTGAGACAAAACTGCACATTCCAGGGTGGCCTTTTATTGTGGGCAGTCTAAGGTACACCTGTGCACTACTCATGATGTTGGATCAGCATCTTGATGTGGCACACCTGTGAGGTTGGATGGATTATCTCAGCAAAGCACAGGTGCTCACTATCACACATTTAGACTGATTTGTGAACACTGTTTGAGAGAAATGGTAATATTGTGTATCTGGAATGAATTTTAGATCTTTAAGTCCATCTCATGAAAAATCGGAGCAGAAACAAAGGTGTTGCGTTTATATTTTTGTTGAGTGTATTTACTCTTTATTTAACCAGAAAGGTCCCATTGAGATAAAAAACCTCATTTTCAAGGGAGTCCTGGCCAAGAGGCAGCAAACTTTACAGTCACTAAATTACTCAGTTACACAGATAGTTACATACAAATTTACAGAACATCTTTGGTGTGTTCTTACTGTTTCTAGTTTCTAATTCCATTTTTGATTCTTTTTAAAACACAGGAAAGGTGTCTCTTTACCTTGCTAACGTTTCGTTTGCCGACTGCAAAACATCCTCAGAGCTGACGGTGGCGTCACTTCCTACTTCATTTATCTGCGGGCAGCAGAGGACGTTGTCGCCCTCAGTGACAGTGATCTGTTACGGCTGACTTCTTTATTGTGCTTTCCGCTTCGTGTTTTGCTGCTCTTGTGTGTTTTTGACTTTGTTTCTTTCTCGCACTCCTTTCTATGTTCTATTGTTTGTGTTGAGTTGGCGTCCGGTTTCTCCTATGTATGTTTCATTGCAGAGTTTGCATGGGATTTCGTAAATGACTCCACATTTAAGTCCAGCTGGTATCTTGTCTTTTGGGTGCACTAGTCTGTTTTAAACTGTTGTGTATGGTTTTGTTGGTGTGTTTATGTTGTGTTTTCATTGTTGGTCTTATTTTTTCTGTTATGCCTTTGATGTATGGTGAGGTTATCACTGGTTTAGGTTCTTGTCTTTCTGGGTTTCTGCTTCTTCGCTTAGGTTGTTCTTTTCTTTCTGTTTGTTGTTTTTCTTCGTTTATTGCCCATGTCGGGTATCCGCAGGTCTTTAGTGTGTTGAATGTGTTTGTCCTCTTGTTCGCGGTCCCTCTCTTCTGTTACTATGTTTGCTCTGTGACATAATGTTCTGATTACTGATATTTTGTGTTTGGTAGGGTGTTCTGATGTCCATAATAAGTATTGGTCTGTGTGTGTTGGTTTTCTATATGTGTTTATGTTTAGGGTCCCGTTGGTCTGCCTGCTTATTTTCATGTCCATAAATGCTATGCTGCCACCTGTTTCTGTCTCATATGTGAATTTTATGTTGCCTGTGTCATCAATGTTATTCAAGTGTTGTGTTAGTGTTTCTGTTTGTCCTTTTGGTATGATTGCCAGTATGTCGTCTACGTAGCGTTTCCATAGTTTTGTTTTGCAGTTTGCGGGGGCAGTGGCTATTCTTTGTCCATTACCACTGTGGTTCTTCCTTTGTCTGCCGGTAGAATAATTATCTGTTCATTTTTGGATAATGCTGTCATGGGTGATTGTTCTTCTTTTGTAATATTGCCTCTGCTGCCCGCAGATAAACGGAGTAGGAAGTGACGCCACCATCAGCGTCAGCTCTGAGGATGTTTTGCATTTTATAAATTGATAAAAAAAATAAACATTTAGTATTTATATTTCTGAAAGCATTCTTTGCTTACAGCATATTTTTTCCACACCTGCCTATCCCAATACACATTTGTATTTTACCGGAATGTTTCATCTATCTTGTTATTTCCATTTTGTATTTTGTAATTTGTATTTTGTAATTTGAATTTCTTTTATTGTTGATTTATTCATTATGATTACTTACAACTGTACCATGTTCAGCGCTTTGGGCTTCCTGACAGGGTTGCGGAAGGCGCTTTATAAATAAAGCTTTGATTGATTGATTGATTGATACTATAAATTATGTACAGTTTAAAGGTTTCTTGTTCATATTTATTAAACTTTAACAACTATAGGGGTTCAACAGTAAGGGTCCATTTACTAACATTAATTACTACTTTCTTAAGCATTAATAAACTATTAAATAAAGTATTAACAACTGCTTAATATCAATGTTGATACTAATGCATTACCATGCAGACACCCCCCCCCCCCATCCCTTTGTACTAGCCTTAAGGACACTGAATAGTTAACAATATCAGGAATGTTAATAAAGGGATCCTTTGTTTATTAATGCTTAATAGTGCACTAAGTAATGTTAATAAAGGGACACTTACTGTAAAGTGTTCCCGAACCATAAACTCCAATACCAAATTTATAGCTCTAGTTCTGTTTGAATATTTTGCCCAAATAGTTGTAAAAGCGACCCTAAATTCCTCCTTTCTTCTAGTTTAGTTGAAAAAAGACAGAGTCAGAAAAACATCACGCTAGAAGAAAACAGTTTATCACTTTACCTCTTGTTTACATCTGCTGTTAATGTGTTTGTGTAGCTGGACATGGACTTTCCAAAGCATTCCATCCTGCAGGCCTTAAGCGTGATGGTCTTGGCCTGGATGTTGGTGCATTGCCAGATTCCTGTCCAACCAGAAGAAGAGGAGGAAGAGCCAGCAAAGGAAGCTGACAACACCGCAGTTGAACCAATCGCATGCCCATCCGAGTGCAGCTGCTCCACCGAGGGATCAGTGGACTGTGCAGGACTTGACCTCACAGAGTTCCCAGAAGAATTGTCTGAAAACACCAAACAGCTTTCTCTGCAGGTCTTTTGCACAGAGACAGAGACACCACTAGACATCCACAACTCGCTATTTAGCCCTGAAAGAATGTGCATGGATATTTACGGGTTATTTTTTGTCCTTTACTAGAATAACAAGATAAAACAGATAACAGTGGAGCACATTTCCCATCTGCATCAGCTTGAGACTCTTAACCTTCAGAACAACTGGCTCACCACAGATGGTAGGGTCTGCAAAACACAACTCATAAACTTGGTCTTCAAATGGAAAGGAAACTGCAGACATGATCATTTTACCAAGTGCATATACACAGAGAGAAAATCTTCAGAGGGCACCGTTTAGTGGCAGCTGTTATGTTGATCAAGCATATACAAGAGACAGATGATAGTGTTTTGTCTCTGCACTTTGCAGAGGATGCTGTTCTGTTGGTCTCATCAACAGGTATTGGTGTGTTTTGCATTTAACGGTGATAAGATTTGTCAAATGTTTATTCGAGGCTAGGTCTCTGAGTGGTTCTATTTTGTGTTCTGCCCATGTATTCAATCTGGTCCAAAGTCGCCTTTAGGAGCTTTGTAACCTTCAGATCTGTTTACCTTAATGATCATGTTATCGTCCATTCCCTCTAACATTAAAAATAACATTTTACTTTTTAAAAAGCATCTCATTCAAAGTGAAACCCCCCCAAAAAACAGTCAATTCACTCGTGCACACAAAGTTAAAATAAAGGTTGCTTGTGTGTATAACAGCAAGTCCGTCTATATTCACTCACAATTTAATGTTTTTTGTTTTTATTAATTTTTTTGTAGGTCTTGAGGACGAGGGCTTTGAGACACTTGAAAAGTTGGCTTATTTATATTTGGCAAATAACAAGGTGAGTCACATACTGGACTAAGATATTGTGTCTGATGCTAAAAAGAGAAAAGATGGACTGATTTGACTGAGCCTTCATAGGGACAAACAGGGCATAAGAAGAACAGAGGATATTAAAGAGGTCACTAAGCCTCAGAGACACCCAGCCTGCATTAACCCTAACCCGTGGTGATGCCGGTGTCACAACCCATTTCAAACATCTGCAAAATTGCCTCTTGAGTCAAATATTCAAGTCTGAAAACCCCAAGTGGCATTCCATCTATGCATATATTGGAAATGATTCCTTCTTCTTTATTTTATACATTTATTTTTCCTACATTTTGATGTATTTATTACAATCTGTTTTCAACTTCAAAGGGGTTTGGGTTCTAAAGGATCAATGCACACACCACAAGTAGAAAGCTCAAAACGAACATCTATACGTCCCTGCTTTCTATATAGACTGCAAAGAAACATTGACCTCAGCTTATTTTTCTGCTTTGGCAACAGTTCAGATAAGTATTATATTTGCTGTGGTAGTTAATGGCCTGTAAGTAAAAGATTTGGACTTTATAGATTGAGATAGATACTGTATTTAGACGGTCTAATCCATGAAACATCTGACTGGACTCTGGGATATTATTTGGACAAGGCATTGTTTCGCTAGACAGTTTCTCCCTGGATGGTGTCAGCAGAAGTGTTAGGAATTCCTAAGGGATTTGAGCCCCGGCCATCCAATAAGCTGCACCTTATTTTAAAATGTGTTGTAAAATCTGCCTTCACACAACTTTGAAGACATCCCATAGTACTAGTGTCAAATATGCCCACTTTTTGCAACTGTGACGCTCCAACTGTTCTGGGAAGTCTTTCCAGAATGAGTGTGTTTATGGGAATCTTTGACCATTCTTCCATAAATGCATTTGCAAGTTCAGGGTAGGACAAGAAACAATATTATTATCATTGGTTTGGGTCAGGACAGTAGGGTTTGTGTCCCCCACCCCAACCCTAACCCCATACCCTTCTCATCCACATCTGTATTAAACACTTTGTTTCTGGCCATAGATGACATTTTACATCGAGACTCTTGAATATAATCTCTTCGTTTTACCTTTCTCTGTGGCCTAGTGGTAGAGTGTCCGCCCTGAGACTGGGAGATCAGGGGTTCGATTCCTGGTCGGGTCATACCAAAGACTTTGAAAAAATGGGACCCAATGCCTCCCTGCTTGACACTCAGCATTAAGGGGGTTGGAGTGGGGGGTTAAACCACCAAATAGTTCCCGAGCGCGGCTTGTCTGCAGCTCACCGCTCCCCCAGGGGAAGGGTCAAATGCGGAGAATAAATTTCGCACACACACCTGTGTGTGTGACAACTAATGGGACTTTAACTTAACTTTTAGAGGTAAATGTTGGCAGTTTTTGGTTTGTAAACTACATATAACTGCATCTTATTGGCATTTCTTTTACTAATCCAGTAACAGTAGATCTATAAATAAAAATCCTTCAAATGACATTCAAATAGCAAGAAGAAACAATTTTTTATACATCGCCTCTCAAGATAAAACCCACGAGGCGCTTCAAAAGAACAAATAATTTAAACACAAATAAAAGACACAAATCTGATCGATGTTATAAATTTGCAAACTTAGTTTAGACACAAATGGAAATGTTCTAATGCTGGGTGTTAATGGTACGCAGTTTATTCACCTGAGTGCTCTAGTCGTATCCTGAAAGAGTTGGTGTTACGGAGGGACTAAGGAATGGATCAGGAATACTAACTGATCCCAGGTAGCAGGAATAAACTGATGTCTGAGCGGTGAACAGGTGAGCAGATCTTCCTTATGTGGGCAGTCCTGCTGTCGGTGGTCACGTCTTCCTCGTTGCTCACTGGCCGTGTTGTGCTTGGATGCAAACATCCACCCCTTTAGCTTCTGGTCAGATATTAACAGCTTCAAGAATCACAATAACTCATCCACTCTGCATCAGCAGTGTAAATGGCGTAACGCCGGAGACGATGATTATTTTGATTACGCATCACTGAAAAAGCTAACTCCATTAGAAGTGTCATTACCTTTTAACACTTTCATTCCCATCACTGGAGATAACATCAATGTGACAGTGAATGGAGGCAGTGGAGGAGTTGCACTGCTGTTAGCCAATAAGAGGCGAGATATTTGAATATCATCAAAATGAATGAATAGGATTCCAAATCCTGTTGGTTTCTTGTTTAACTTCTACTTCGTGCAAAATAACTACTAGAGCTTTTTCCCTCAGAAAAACACTCACAAGGCGTTCATTCACACTACAGACCACAGCAACTATCTTGAAATAACAAGTATATGCCAGAGTAATAGTATTAACAAGATCCTGCTACTAGATTCTGATACACTCTCTCTGACAAAACTTTATCAGAAAATTCACAAGAAACTGCTACCAAAGAGGCCATTTAAAAATGTTCAAACTAAATAATTACAGTTTTAAAATAGGAGTCTCACTTGTTATTTTTACTTTTTGTTTGTTTGTTTTTTTGCAGCTTACTTCTGCTCCAGTGATCCTTCCTTCTTCTTTAGTTAGTGCCGATTTCGCTGCTAATCAGCTCATAAGGATCTACCCATATACTTTTGGGCAGAAACCAAAACTAAGGTGTGTGTTTGTGTAAATTTATCAAAGGTAGCTAATGTTTGATTTACTAACACTTTCGTGTCTTGACCTCCATCCAGGTCTGTGTATCTTCATAACAACAAACTGACCGATGCAGGACTTCCTGATCACATGTTTAATGCTTCTGACAACCTGGAGATTCTCACCATGTCCAGCAACTTCCTGCGGGTTGTTCCTGGTAACCTGCCCTCCAGTCTTCATCGCCTTCATCTAAAGGTCTCTGAGCTGCAACTGAAACGTACCTTTGAACAAAATAAGATTTAAGAATAAGAATTATACACAAGATAACATTTCTGTTGTTCTATTAATGATCAGCAACAATGAAATATACATATATATATATATATATATATATATATATTAGGGATGCTCCGATCAGGTTTTAATCTGCCGATCATCCAAGAGGCCGATCATGGCCGATCAGCTGATTACCGATACCAATTACATAGATTGGCTGTAAATTGTTCATTTAGCTATGGTGAGTTCTAATGCATGTGTTACATATTAATTCAGAAAAAACATGGTTTTACTTCACTTCAAATTATGTAATATCAGTAACAATTTATAAGAAATTGAAAACATTAAGGCTCTCTTTAGGCTACAAATAGTGCAAAAAAAGTCAGTATCTCACATCACCGCCTAAATCAAATTAAGTAACCAAGGATACATTCAGATGCATCCAGTGAGCTGTTAAGCTCAGCACTGACACAGGACCGACATCTGAGCTCCAAATGTCACATGTGAAACTCACAGAGGATGAGACGCTTTCTTTAAGGAGTCCCTCGATGAAAGAATACACTGTCTGGTGGAGCTCTGGAAGGGCTACGTCGGCGAAATATTTACGTCCCGGTAGCATGTAGCGAGGTTCCAAGTGGGTTAGTAGTCGGCGGAATTCGGCGTCTTCCACAACTGAAAAAGGCTGGTCGTCTAGTCCAATAAACTCGATGATTTTACGGGTAATTTGCTTAGCATTTTGACTGTCACGCTCAAATGGGCGAGTGTTTCCAAGCGTCGGCTGCGTTAGCTGCCGTCTGACTGTGGCTGCATTAGCATTAGCAGGCTTCTTTTCATTGTCTGCGGTGAGCCTCAAAAACTCACCATGCTCCGCCAAGTGTTTAGTCTTTAAATGTCGGATCAAATTCGTGGTGTTGAATTTTTTTGAAGTGCCTCCTCCGCGGGGTATGTTTTCGTTGCAAGTGTTGCAAGACGCAAACTTAATATCACTCTCGCACACCGCAAAGAAGTTCCACACGGCAGACATGTTTGTCTTCGCGGGTTTGCCGCCACGCGCATGCGCACTAAGCGGGGAGAAGCGGAAGGGTGAACTACCGGCCGGGAAGAGTAAGCGCCAGTGCCAGATCGGAAATGAAAGGCAGTGATCGGCAATCACAGATCATACACTTTTGCAGGAAAATCGGCCGATAATTATCTGTGGCCGATCAATTGGAGCACCCCTAATATATATATATATATTAGGGGTATAATAATATTTTTACATGAAGATAAATAGATAAAATAAAATCTTTCTTTCTGTTACAGAGTAACAAGTTGGAGAAAATCCCACCTGGAGTCTTTGACAGTTTACACAACCTCAGAGAATTGTACCTCCAGAACAATCTGCTCAGCAATGAAGGGATGGACAATGAGACTTTCAGGTTGGACAAAATCACATTCATGAACATCAGTGATAAACACATTCTCAACATGTAAACAATACTTTAAAAGTAAAGTTGGGTGATACAGGTGTTAAGCCTACTAGCCTTTAATCCCAGATAAACATCTCATCAGACGGGGTCCCCCAACCCTGGTCCTGGTCCATAAAGAGCCTCCATCCAGCAAGTTATAGTTGGTTACTTGCTCCAAAATCTGAACCACCTGTTCAGCAGCTCGTTAAGTTCTACAGAACTGGAGGATTAGCAGACTGGGGAATAGCTACGTCAAAGTTTATAAAGAAGTGGTCAGAGAGGCCTGTGGCCTCTATGCCTGTAAGGGTAACAGAAAGGCCTTTGTAGATCACTAATGGCACTCACACATTAGCTTTGGCACGGTCGGGGTTTGGTCAGGCTGGATGGCGTGAGTTCGGTCTCGAACGGGCGGTGCAGTGCTCACATATAAATCCGAGGGACTTCTCAGGGGCGGCGTTTAATACGCGTTGAAAAGTCCATGGTGTCCGCCATTATAAGGTAAACAAAGGCGGGCATGAGCTGCTTTCCTTTTGGAGACTCTGAACATCATTATTTTATTAATTTGCTGTGTGTGAGCCACACACACACACACACACACACACACACACACACACACACACACACACACACACACACACACACACACACCTTTGTCAGATAGTCTGGGAGAATTAAAATAGGAGTATTCTGGGGGGAGCAGTTCAGTAAAAGCACTATTTTCTCCTGGCTTAATCCAAGTTTCAGTCAGCAGGAGGAAATCTAACAAGTGAGAGGTGAAGATATCATTAAGAATAAAGCTATTGTTGTGGAGGGAGTGGATGTTTACCAGGGAAGCGTGTAGAAGCTTTGGTTGAGGCTGATGCGGAGCATGGGCGATCCGGTAAGGATTCCATGGCACACGCCCCCACGTGCCGTTTCACAAACTTTCCAGATTGGAATTTGTTGAAACTCTTGTGTAGTTCCAGAAAAGTAATTAGTTGATATGACACAACTTTTTTCCAATATTTTGGAATTGTTGGATTTAACGAAACAATCATTAAATCCAGAAAAGATAAGCCCCGCCCATCCCCCACACCAAGTGGGCCCCCCGGCATTTAGCACCGCCAACCCACAGTCTTCCATAATTTCCTCTAAAACCTCACCAGTCTCATTTGTCCTATGGCTGCCCCACTTCCTACTGTGAGCATTAAAACCTCCCACCCACAAGACCGAGGATGCACCTTCCACTAACCCCTGCAACGTCACACTCCAGTCCCTCCCCATGATTATAAAAATAACCACCAGCACCACAACTGTCCAAACGTCGACCCGCACTCACTCGACCCCCGGCAACTGTTTACGTCTGCGAGATTGCAGCCCTCCTTAAGAAATGTAGCACATTGAACTTGTGGCAACGAGCCCTCTCTAAAGCCCTAACTGGATAACTCACGTATCCCAAAAAAATACAAGCAGTTTGGCGTTCTTTTGGAATAATATTTATTCTTACAAACACTTTCATCATACAGTGAGTACGGAAAGTATTCAGACCCCTGTCAATTTTTCACCCTGTTAAATTCCAGCCATTTGCTAAAATCAATTACATAAACTTTTTCCTCACTAATGCACACACAGCACCCCATATTGACAGAAAAAATGAATTTGAGAGATTTCACCAAATCACAAAAAGAGTAAGCGCTAGGCACTTCACAAAGTAAACATTCCAACACAGTTCAGTTCGTTAAGCCGGTCAGTAAAAAGGTTTCTTATATATTGCATCGAGTCACTGCCTAGTGTCAGTGTCTTTATAGCAATCCTTATAGTAAAGTTAAAGTTAAAGTCCCATTAGTTGTCACACACACAGGTGTGTGTGTGTGCGAAATTTATTCTCCGCATTTGACCCATCCCCTGGGGGAGCGGTGAGCTGCAGATACAGCCGCGCTCGGGAACTATTTGGTGGTTTAACCCCCAATCCAACCCCTTAATGCTGAGTGTCAAGCAGAGAGGCATTGGGTCCCATTTTTTCAAAGTCTTTGGTATGACCCGACCAGGTCTCAGGGCGGACACTTGTGGTAGTTTATTGCAGGACTTTTACTTGGTCTTGGCGGGTTTCTCGGTCTTTTTGGGCAGAAGAACGGCCTGGATGTTGGGCAGCACGCCGCCTTGAGCGATCGTCACACCGCCCAACAGTTTGTTTAGCTCCTCGTCATTACGGACAGCCAGTTGAAGGTGTCGGGGAATGATCCTGGTCTTCTTGTTATCGCGAGCAGCGTTTCCGGCCAGCTCCAGAATCTCAGCAGTGAGATACTCCAGAACAGCAGCCAGATAAACGGGAGCTCCAGCACCAACGCGCTCAGCGTAGTTCCCCTTCCTCAGAAGTCTGTGAACACGACACTCTACCACTAGGCCACTGAGAAAGCATGTAGCGACAGTGGAGAGGGCCAACCACAGACACCCCTGGGACTATAATGGGGACGCACCCTATCACAGCTACACCGGCAATATTAAACACTCATTCATGGAATTATAAAGCCTGCAGAGGAGAAACAAGGCTGGAGAAAAGGCAGATCAGTCTATTTGCTCTCCAATGGTCTGCTCTAAAATGTCCATTATACTTCTGTAACCCTCTTCCCCTGCCTCTGATTGTGATTGTGTTCAGCTGGGTGCGTCAGGGCGGACACAGGAAGTGTAGAAGGAGGCGGGACTCAGACTGCCAGGACGCCATTGAGTATGGTGCTGAAAGGACAGCTCCCCTGGAACAGCCCCACAGTGAAATACAAAAGAAGGGGGGAGGAAAGATTCACAAAACAAACAAAAAAGGCTTGGCTATTACAATAAGTAGATTTTTTTTCTCCCTTAATGCCTTAGTGCCCCCCTGTGGACGAGCTGCCACCAACTGATCTGCTGATGATGAGCTGCAATGTAGCCACTAGGGATGTAAGAAAATATCGATATGGCAATATATCGTGAAATTTTTTCCTGCAATTATTACATCGATATTCAAAAGCTGTATATCTAATTCTTGAAATAATATACATGCAAACTTTTGTGTATTTTCTTTTCGTTTTGTGCAATTCAATCGCCACCCGCTAGTTAGCAGCAGTGTGCAACGGGTTTTGTTTCCACCATTGAACTGTAAATCCCTCCATCACGGGTCAGATACCTCATGTTAAACATGTTACGTATCAGTTTGGACTGTTTATTGAACATTCTTACAATAAATTCAGTAAAAAAATTAGCTTGTAACGTCTGACTGAATGTATCGCAATATATCTCGATATATCGTATCATCTCCCCTGTATCGTGATATGTATTGTATCGCCAGAATTTCAAAAATACACATCACTGGTAGCCACAGCTGCCCTGGGCAAGCAAGCTGCAAGCTGGGCTCTTGATATTCACCAGAGGATTTGTTCTCTTTATTATAATTATTTAGCAGTCATTAATGCGGCTCAAACGGCAGTGTGCGCCCCCATAAACTGTACATCAAAACAAGTGGCTCGGTCGTGGAAGGTGTGCTATTACTTTTCCAA